AGAGGTAGAGGGGTAAGCCAGTGGAAGGTCTCGGTCAGATGATCACAAGCTCCAGCTGTGGGTCATCATATAACTAAGACCGCTTCCTGACCAACGTTAATCCCTGTTTTAATTAGGGTTGAAGTATTCTTGTCTGGTGAGGAGGTAACCGTGCAGTCTTACTGCTTAATCTAGTCGATAGGCTTTAAACCCCTTTAACCAGCCAACCATATATAGGATCCATTCCAGAGAGTAGGTCCATTTCCTTGGATCAACAGCTCTTCACTGGCAGTATAAGCTCTGGGACGGATTCCCCTCAGAGGTCACTTGGCCCTGCTGACTCGCTGACGGGCTCTTGATCCATGGAATTGGACCTGACCTCTCCTTCATTGGGTTGAGCCTGGTTACATCCCATTCCCCCCGCCAAGTATTGTATGACCCCTACGGGTTTAGCGCCTGCCATGACTATGACTTGGGACGTGTGGTGTACTGGTGGTGAGACTCCCATTATGTTACAATGAGTGCACAATAGTGCAACATAATTATTGTTAGCCCTGAATGTGACAAAATGTTGCAGACGTACATATGTTAAGCATCAACACACACGTCACGTGCTTCTGAGCACGTGCATTCAGGCACACCACGTACTCTATATCCACTACCACACCCATGTACGCCGTGTGTATTCAAGTATAGAACAAACATGCATTCACGCGTGCACCACATACATTTGCGCACCACGTGCACACCACGTGCACCCACATAACATAAACTAGGACAATCGTCTAATACATGGGTGGACACCTCGCCTAACCCAGCACATGCAGCACGCTTCAGAAAGTCCAGTGATTTTTCTTTTTTACATGAATGAATTTAAAGGCTAAACTGTATCATCTTATCTCGGCTCACAGGATATACACAGCGAGAGTTGTATTTCTCTCAGTGTGTTTATATATATATATATATATATATATATATATATATATATATATATATATATATATATATATATATATATATATATATATATATATATATATATATTGAGTATACTTTGGGATTAAAGTATTTTTGTGGCGAAAATTCTGTATGCAACTTTGATGACCATAGTGTAGTCGACAGGCTCTGAACTCCATTAACCAAGCAACCTCATCTCTTTTCAGTTTTCAGTCCTACCTAAAGTATGATAATACCCTGCAAGATGCAGTTATACTATCTCAGCTCATATCAAAGTCCAGCCCTATTTAAAGTATCATACCACCCTCCAGGATGCTGTTATCTTGCTTCAGCACATTTAAAAGCCCAGCAGTAACTTAGCCCTATGTGAGATATACTACCAGCCCAGGATGCCACCCACAACATTATACTAACACCCTAGTGCTTATTTTCTACTGGGTGTATGGAAACTCGCCCAGACTTCTGACCCAGAGTCTGGAAATAGAAAGACTAGTTCTGGAGGGGATTAGAATAAGCCATAAAAATAATTGGGAATTCACGTTACTGGTAGAGCTAAAAGTCAGAAGAGGCATGATTTTGACATACAAGCTACTAGGAGGTACTGTTAGAGTGGATAAGAACATAAGAGTGGAATACTGCAGCAAGCCCAGTTCACCCGCAACCACACATACTCTTCCACGGGTTCCACCTACCCAAAGTTTTCACATCACCGACGCTACTTGGGAGTTTGATATTAGGCTTTAACTTTCATAAATGAGACATTTGTTAGTTTTGTAAACCAATTATTTACGTCTACCACTTTATTGTCAGCCAATACACCCAAGGAGCCTCTCTAAATCGAAATTTGTCCAACTTGAAGGAAGAGATCGTTCGATTGACGGAACCTGAAAACCCAGATGAGCAGCAGGGATGTTAAAAATGTTGATTCGGGTGAAAAAAAAAAACGAAATAAGCTGGACGACGAAGCCAACTCCATACAACACAGTGTGCTGGGTAAATAAGATAGCAACGAATAGGCTACGAACCAACAAGGTCAGTTGATTACTTGTAGGTTAGTAGGCGAGACTAACTGGGTGAGTGCAAACCAACACTCATCTGCCCATTGCCCATGCACTTCCCCATGAGGTTGTTCACCATGTAGAAGACTGAAGGTATTAGACGTGACCTCACTGGTTGGTTGATAGCACGATAAGACATGATAACAAACACACATGCACACACACAGTCGAGGATTTTCTTAAAAAAATTGAAGCCAAAATTTCACCGCTGTCTGCTGTACCTGGAGTACCTGGAGAGAGTTTCTGGGGTCAACGCCCCCGCGGCCCGGTCCATGACCAGGCCTCGCAGTGGATCAAGACCTAATCACCCAGGCTGTTACTGCTGGCCGCATGTAAACCAATGTAGGAACCACAGCCCGGCTGGTCAGGTACTGTATGTGTCTGTCCAGCTGTTTCTTGAAGACAGCCAGGAGTCTATTGGTAATCCCCCCCTTATGTATGCTGGGAGGCAGCTGAACAGTCTTAGGCCCCAGACACTATTTTTATTGAATATTTCTTGCTTCTGGGATCTACAACAACTTGAGAACGCCTCGGATTAGTTTGGGCTGTGTTGTAATGTTTACTGGAGAAACTGTGATACAAGTTTCCCTGTGATAGCCTCTGAATGCTTCTTTTCGTAGACTTAAAAGCCTTCGGTACTGATATGTAGCTGCGTTAGGAATTTATTTCCCACACTGTACTATTCTTTTTTTGCGTGCGTTGGGGTACAGGGGTCGGGGAACTATTATGGGATACTCGAGATAACTATTTTTAGAATTGCGCAGTGACCGTGGCCTAGTAGGCAACGCTCTCGCCTCACTGAGTATCCGTGGTTCGATCCCCGGTAAGGGTAGAAACACTGGGTGTGTTTCCTGACACCTCTTGTCCCCGTTCACCTAGCGCACAAGTAGGTACCTTGGTGTTAGTCGGCTGATGTGGGTCGCATCCAGGGGAATAATATTTAAGAACCACAATAGAAATAAGACTTTCATGGGTTATCCAGAGTGGCTAACCCTCCGGTGTTAAAAATCCAAACACATTCTTATCTATCTTACCAAAAGAAGTCTAGATAATGAGGTTAATTAACCAGCATAACGCAAGTATAATGAACATATATTAATGCTTAGTAATAACCCACATGAAGACACACACAGAAGATTGATTGATCTGTATATTTCGATCCCCTTCTGGGATCCTCATCTGCTGAAGAGGATCCCAGAAGGGGGTCGAAGTATATATATATCAATCAATTTTCTAAGTTTGTGTATCCAAGCAGAATGGCTTCCACCCAGACCCTGACGTCCCTTCCCAGGAGCGACCCTTAAAATAGGAGCGAGGAAAATAAGGGAAGGGGAGGAGTGAGGCGAGATGAAGGGGGAGAGGAAGGTGATGGGAAGAGGACAGTGATGGGGAAGGGGAGGGTATATAATCACTTAGGTAGTGCCATCAGTGCTACATTACTTAGTTATCAGGCAGAGTCAGACCATTGAACCCATATTTACACCGCTCAATCCACACTTACACCACTCAACCCACACACCACTCAACCCACACACCACTCAACCCTCACACCACTCAACCCACACACCACTCAACCCACACACCACTCAACCCACACACCACTCAACCCTCACACCACTCAACCCACACAACACTGAACTCACACACACTCAACTCAACCCACACACCCACTCAACCCACACACCACTCAACCCACACACCACTCAACCCATACTTACACCACTCAACCCACACTTACACCACTCAACCCACACTTACACCACTCAACCCATACTTACACCACTCAACCCACACTTACACCACTCAACCCACACTTACACCACTCAACCCATACTTACACCACTCAACCCACACTTACACCACTCAACCCACACTTACACCACTCAACCCACACTTACACCACTCAACCCATACTTACACCACTCAACCCACACTTACACCACTCAACCACACTTACACCACTCAACCCACACTTACACCACTCAACCCATACTTACACCACTCAACCCACACTTACACCACTCAACCCACACTTACACCACTCAACCCATACTTACACCACTCAACCCACACTTACACCACTCAACCCACACTTACACCACTCAACCCACACTTACACCACTCAACCCACACTTACACCACTCAACCCACACTTACACCACTCAACCCACACTTACACCACTCAACCCACACTTACACCACTCAACCCACATTTACACCACTGAAACAAGCAGGTATAAGCCAGTGGTTACTGCTGTCCTGGTTTATCCTAGTGACTGAGGGTGATAATGTAACATAGGTGGGAGAGGTGAAAAAGAAAAAAAATGCGTGATGGGTGTGGGCGTGGGCGGGAGATATGGGCGGAGATGGCATCGTTGATTGGCGTTGATGTGCCAGGTGGCTCTCTAGAGTGCCAGGTGGCTCCCCAGAGTGCCAGGTGGCTCCCCTGAGTGCCAGGTGGCTCCCCAGAGTGCCAGGTGACTCCCCTGAGTGCCAGGTGGCTCCCCAGAGTGCCAGGTGGCTCCTCAGAGTGCCAGGTGGCTCCCCAGAGTGCCAGGTGGCTCCCCAGAGTTCCAGATGGCTCCCCAGAGTTCCAGGTGGCTCCCCAGAGTGCCAGGTGGCTCCTCAGAGTGCCAGGTGACTACCCAGAGTGCCAGGTGGCTCCCCAGAGTGCCAGGTGACCCCTGAGTGCCAGGTGGCTCCCCAGAGTGCCAGGTGACTCCCCAGAGTGCCAGGTGGTTCCCCAGAGTGCCAGGTGGCTCCTCAGAGTGCCAGGTGGCTCCCCAGAGTTCCAGGTGGCTCCCCAGAGTTCCAGGTGGCTCCCCAGAGTGCCAGGTGGTTAGAGGACACACACACACACACACACAGAAGAGGTACGATAAAGCTCATGGAGCAAGGAGAGAGAGAGTGGACCTAGTAGAGACCAGCGAAGAGGCAGGGCCAGAAGCTGTGACTCGACCCCTGCAACCTACATTTAGGTGAATAAATATGAATAAAGAGACGTACCATAATAGCGATATATCGACGGAGGGTGTGTGGCAGAGGCCCATCACCAGAAAGAAGCTCGTGATGGAGCCTGCAGAAGCCCTCCAGGTAGGTAGGGTGTTCCTCCAACATATGATCTACACCTTCACCGCCACAAGCCAGACCCAGGTGACCCTGAAAATAAAAATGAAGATTCAGCTAATGGAATTATACCCATAAAGGTCACTTAGATAATAAAGGTCATAGTTAAGGCACTTCCGGGTCTACTAAATGTGTTATACAAGTTCACAGGAGAAAAGCAATAGTTGTGGGTATGGTATACCATCAGTATCCAGTTGACTCTGTCCTTGATATCACAAGTAACTTATAAACTGGAACATTTGCGCGTGACAACACTAAAACACTTAACATTGTTGACAGTGATAACGAGAATGTTCTCTTCCCAGACACCGTAATTAATATCTTGCTGACACAGTACTGTAAGAAGGATACTTGACATCCTTTCAAGTGTATGTAGTATCTTGCTGACACAGTACTGTAAGAAGGATACTTGACATCCTTTCAAGTGTATGTAGTATCTTGCTGACACAGTACTGTAAGAAGGATACTTGACATCATCCTCTCAGTCATTCCTTGGTGACTGACTGAGTGAACTCGAATCCCAGTCATGGTTACTAGTGACTGAGTATTCAGTCTTCATTACGTTCATCAGTGTGTCTGATTCGTGATGACTGAGACAGGTGTGTGACACCTGAATACCTTTATTGACGTGATGTTTCGAGCAGCAGTAACAGGAGGAGCAGTAGCAGGAGGAAGAGGAGGAGCAGTAGCAGGAGGAAGAGGAGGAGCAGTAGCAGGAGGAAGAGGAGGAGCAGTAGCAGGAGGAAGAGGAGGAGCAGTAGCAGGAACAGCAGTAGCAGCAGTAACACGAGGAGCAGTAGCAGGAACAGCAGCAGCAGCAGTAACATGAGGAGCAGTAGCAGGAGGAAGAGGAGGAGCAGTAGCAGGAACAGCAGCAGCAGCAGTAACATGAGGAGCAGTAACAGCAACAGCAGAAGGAAGAGGAGCAGTAGCAGCTGTAGAAGACGAGCAGTAGCAGGAACTGCAGGAAGACGAAGAGGAGCAGTAGGAGCACCAGTAACAGCTACATCAGTAACAGTAATAACAACAGCAAGAGGAAGAAAACACTAATGTATTTTCTTATCGTTCTTGTTTTGGGTTATTTATATTTACAAATTATCAGATTTTCCCAGTACAACTTTCTCTTTTCACCTAGAACTTTCTTTCTTCACCTAGAACTTTCTTTCTTCACCTAGAAATTTTTAAGTAGAATTATTCTTCACGGGGGGTATTTTTTCCACGTAGTGTCGTGGGGTTCGTGAGGAGATATTAGAGTAAGAAATACACAGGCTGGATGTCTGGAGGCGTAGAATTAAGAGTTGAGAAGCCCGGGAGCGTTGCCTTGCCCAGTCTAGCAAGTGTCGTGGCCTAGCAGTTGTACGCAGTATACATCCTTCCAGTTCAATGACGCACTGGTATAAAAACAATATAGCATTGCGAAATTGATGGGCAGGAGGTATACCCTACTCATAAAACCAACCTCTTTATAAATTACTCAACGTGCACACACGCATATTCAAATTACACCAAAGTGGATAGGCCACTACTCTTGTATAACCCCACCTACTCCTCCTCCCTCCCCAACCTTTCCCAAATTCCATCCTTACCCATCCTTCTTCCTCCCCTCCCCTCTTACCAAAGCTCTGGTCAGAACCTCGAACCTGTGGTTGGTGGCACATGTGTGGGGGACTCGTGAAGTCACGCAAGAAGGGAGCCTATCTGTAAAGTAGCTGGGATTATCCTAAGTATATTGCACAAGTAAACAGTAGCAATACTGACTTTCTTTTCCCCACGTCGAACTTTCTTTAATTTTTCTCACATAACTTTATATTCTCCACTGGTAGAGTTCGTTATGATTCCCTTCATGGTACTGACTTTGTATTATCTGGTACTGACTTTATATTACCTGGTACTGCCCTGTATTATCTGGTACTAACCTTGTATTACCTGGTACTGCCATGTATTCCCTGGTACTGATCTTGTATTACCCGGTACTGCCCAGTATTACCTGGTACTGACTTTATATTACCTGGTACTGCCCTGTATTATCTGGTACTAACCTTGTATTACCTGGTACTATCTTTGTATTACCTGGTACTGATCTTGTATTACCCGGTACTGCCCAGTATTACCTGGTACTGCCATGTACAAGGGGGCAGCTGAGAGTAATACCAGATAAATCAAACCTGACATTAATACTGACAAAATACAGTTATTATAACATGAAGGCCAGGACAGCCATCATGGCTTCCAGACATAGTTATTTATATTATTATCACTTGTGGCCGGAGATAACACGACCCATATAACACGTGTCAACAACCACTACCACAACAACTCTTACTGATTATATATATATATATATTATATATATATATATATATATATATATATATATATA